AGCTGTGGGTTAAAGGTGAAGATCCAATGGGGTGATGCACGGGAGAGTACCAGTAAACAGGACGGTGCCAGCACGTGTTTGCTGTTTTTATTGCTAGTGGAGTAAGATGGAGGAGCACATTATCACCGACAATACACAGTGGTGCTCTTGGGGGCTCACCAGAGTCCTTGAGCTGCTGGCTTAAAAGGGCAGCTTAAGAAGTGTGACGCCATTTGTCTCATGGCTAATGTGTAACAGGAAAGACATCTGTGCTCTTGGCCCAAAAGGAGCCGACGGGAGAGGCCATCAAAAAGGCACGGCTAGCTTCTCACCTGGGCCCAGGCAGCTGGACACTATCCGTCAGAGGCTAAATGAGCTCATCCTAATAGCCAGTTGGACAATGAAATATTAGTCAAGTAATGTTTCATCCAGAAATAACGACCATTTTGACAGTTAGGTTGCAGCCCAATTTCCAGGTTGTTTGGAACCTAGAAATGTGAAGCAGGGCTGAAAACAGCCTAGGGCAGTGGTCGCCAAACTGCAGCTCGCGAGCCACATGCGGCTCTTTGGCCCCTTGAGTGTGGCTCTTCCACAAAATACCACGTGCGGGCACGCACGTACAGTGCGATTGAAACTTCGTGGCCCATGCGCAGAAGTCGGTATTTTGTGGGAATCCTCCGAGGATGATCTAAATGTTCCTTGGGTGGGACTTAGTCTGAGAAGGCTGTTGACTTGAAACATGGCTGGAAAAGAGGAACACTCACCTGGTTCCAGTCACCACGCTGCTCACTCTGTGGATGCTGTCTCATCTGACTTTATGGCAGCCCTGTAACAAGGCAATTAAATAAACTGTCCGAAGACAACCCACCAGTAAGTGGCATAAATGAGATTTGAACCCAGGCTTATCTGATTCTTATAAATGAGGATTAAGTCAACTTCACTTGCCAGAGTACCTCAACATAATGTTGGTCTGTACAACAGAGGTCTGTTTCTCATGTCCTGTTACAGACGTCTGGACATTCCAAAGGATAGGATGGCGCTACAAAACTGTTAGGGAATCGGGCACCTTTCAGCTCCCTGGAAGGTGACCTGATCTTTATGAAGCAAGATGGCTGCTCCATCCATCACATTAATATACCAAGCAAGGAAGAGAAAAAGGGCAGGCCCTCTTTCAAAAATATTTTCCCAGAACTCCCTCATAATGTTCCGCTTACATCTTATTGGCCAGAGCATTGTCACATGTCTACATCTAGCTCCAACTGCAAGGGAGGCTGAAAACTGGGACACGGTAGCTGAACTGCAGTATAACCAGCTAAAAATCAAGGTCTTCTTCCTGAGCATGAAGAGAGAAGTGTGTTGGGAGAGACTAGCACTGACTCCAAATATATTTTCTTCCTCTTTGGTGAGTGAAACAGCTTCAAGTAATGGTACTTCATAGTTCATATGTCTGAAGTTCTAACTCGTTAGAGGCCATTTCAGAAACCAGAATATAAGTAACAAGACCCCCCAAATGATATATATGTAATTTTCCTACTATAGATCTTGTCAATTTTGGTAAATTTATCTTTCCTGAGATTTAAACCCACTGTCACTCCTTTTGAAAATTACCCAGAAAGAACTTTATACTCATTTCCAATGCCTATCTTGACACTATACAGGTTCCATCACACTGCCTGTAGCGCCGCCCACACTCTCCAGCTTATGAATTTGCAGAGATACCACCAGCTCTGGCAGGATGAGCGGATGAGATGCAGAAAGAAGGGAGGGCTAACAGCTTTTGATTACCGAGTTATTGATAAGGTGGGACCAGGAGAGCTGCTGAACTGAGATTCACAGGGAGTGGGGAGCACACCTTGGGGTGGGAACTTATCTATGTCCAGTCACCAGGTGGTAAAGGAGGGGCCTGTCAGCTCGATTCCAAGCAACAGGTCTTGTGACTTGTGAGCAAACTTTTCCCCCTCTCCCTCCCATCCTCTGTAGTTATGGCTTCTGCTGAGTAATTGCCAGTAACATTAGGGACATGTGTGTATTCTACCTCATTTTTAAAGTTTTACCTTCTATTGGAAAAGCTGGTGGGTGGGAAGGAAGATGCAGCAAGGGAGGAAAATAACCCTTTTCAATTTTTCCGATACAGCTGGTATGTGCAGAAAACACAATCACAACCCTTTTGTTTAATACAAAAGCCTCTTTCTCTTTTAAAAAGAATTAAGTATCCAAAAATAGTTTGAAACTACCCAGAGGCCACCACTAAACTTTAGAATGTTTTCTTTCTGGTTTATTTTTTTTTTATTACATTTTCATTTTTTTAATAATTAGAGGGAAATATTTAAAGTAAAAATTGTATTCTCATAGAAAAACCCTGAAAATTACTGTCACAACATCATATAGTGAGGAAAGGGCACTGGTGGCCTTGGTTCTGATGTTAAGCTGTCCCTGGGACCTTGAGTAAGCTAGTTATCTCTGGGTTTCAGATACTCACCTGCAGGTTGGAAGTGGGAGATGCCAAGTACAGTACTAGGGCCCTTTCCTCACCAGACATCTGTGTTAGGGCATATGAGACAGTCTGCAAAACTTAATGCGGGATCATGGAGCTGGCATCAAATCCAGATGTTTCTTAATTTGGGATCCATGAATATTTCCAGGGTGTGTTCTCGCCATAATTAGGTGGGACACATGCATGAACCCCCAATTTATACTCTTTTGTAAGAGAAAGGCCAATCACATTTATGAGAGTCTTAAGGAATCTGTGACCTGAGGAAGGTTAAGAACCACTGGTCGACTCTCCTACTCTCACTTTATGGACAGGCCCCTTCCGTCAGGGAAGTGAAGGGACTTCCTCCGAATGCTCATCCTGTGGCTCTTCCTGCCAATCTGGAGAGCAGCGCTCTCTCTCCTCCATGGAAGTGACCCATCCTGGGTGCCCTCTGCTCTGCACTACGATGGAAATAACTCCTCTAGGTCTCCCCATCTGGCCCAGCCTCCTCTGGCATTTTTCCCCCTAATTCTCCCCCCGCCCCTTCAGGCAACCCTGTCCCCCAGAAGTCGGAGGGGAGATGCTGTAAGGGAGGAAACAGGCTGACACAGTCAAGGTCCTCGTTCCCACTCCTTTATTTCTGAAAGAACATCTCAGCTCTCCGTGTAGTTTATCCTTCTCGCCAGAAGTGACATGGAGAACCTTCTCCCAAGACCTGACATAATAGTGCAAAGGGCACAGTGTCTGACGCTGAAGGAAAATCCTCAGATTGACAGCTCATAGGAGGAGGGTCACCCCAGTTGCTAAGGGAGTGGATTGTGTCCCACTCTACCATATGGGAAGCAAAACAGCCTCAAAAAGATTGTACAATGGGAACACTGTGGTGTTTGTGCTGAGAATTCATCAGACAGAACCTTGTATGTGAAACCCAAAGTGACCTTTTCGGAGGGCCCTAGCCCTCCATAGGAAGGCAAATACCACCAGATTGCCTGACATTTCCTTTTTTAATTTCAAGCATTCCCGATTTCAGGTCGGCTATTGATCTGTTGGTTTGCAGCCCCGATGCAGTTAAGTGAAGTCACTTTCATTGCTGTTAGAGACTAATATAAACTACTGTTTTGAAATCCCAGTGTCCTCCCTGTATCTCCTTCTCCCTGCCTCATAACACCACCCCCTCCCCAAAGCCTGCCAGCCAACAACATGCAGTGTAGATGGTGCCGGTTGCAGAAAAGGGCATTTTTCTAAACCTGAAATTCAAATCTTCAGAGTTGAACTATGTACTGTTGTACTGCGTCCATTTTTTAAAGATCACATTTATTTGTTCACTCCTTACTTTGAGTCCCTCTTGGCAGAAGCTACAAAAAAAAAAAAATTTCTAAAGAGGAGGGTTTGTTAATTCTAGTCAGTCACCCAAATGTAATGTGGAACTCAGCTAGGGAATGTGCTGAGCTCCACCTGGAACTGATGATGAAGACAGATGAGAAGCGGTAACTCAGAGAGCAAAGGTTGAAAGGCGGCATTGCCCCGGGATTAGTGTTTTGGATGGATCTTAGGGCTAGTCCCGTCCACTGGTCCCGGAAGCCCCAGCAGGCAGGTGTGCGGCAGGTGCGTGTGCAGCTGGAGCTTGGTGTTCAGAACTTGAAAGTTGAGCTCTTGAGATCCTGGCAGTGCATGGTGCCACTTGTTCCTCTGGTGAAGAGCGTTCTCCCTGGCTCCGGTTACCCTGAGAGAATTGGCCAGGGAAAGATACCTGGATGGATTCTTGGTTGGTCTGTTCACAGCATAATTTACCAGAGTCTGGCTGCTGCTCCTCTGAGAGGACCTGCTGGTGCAAAAGCATCTGGTCAGTCTGGTCCAGCTGGGGGACAGTGAGGAAGAATGAGCCACCAAAAAACTAACAGGCAACTGTAGGAGGAGACCATATGAAGAAATGAGCTCTCCCATCTTTTTTCTTAAAACTCAGCCCCAGGGGAGAAAGGGGTGGGTGGAGGTGGAAGAGGGCATAGAGGGGATAAATGGTGATGGAAAAAATTAAATTAATTAAAAAATTTAAAAACTCAGCCCTTTGGTCTGTCTGTTGTTCACACAGCAATGTGGGTGATTGAATTGCAACAAACATTTGAATTGCCCTATTCAACATTCATATTTTTTCCAAAGGTAGAAGCTAATTCTGTTCTGCCTTATCCTTCTCATGTTGAAAATCAGGCAGCCCCACACCAGCTCTTAATATCATCCTTGCTGAGGAACTCAGGGAAAGCCCCTAGAATGAGAAGCTTTGCTCTCCATCCTGATTTGACCTTTCAAAATTAGGTCTCACTGCCTACATACAATAGTTTTCTCCTGTTACATTTAGGGTGATCATACAACCCAGCTTCCTATAAGACATCTGATTTATGTCTGTTGTCCCCTGAGATTAATAGCACCCGAAGCATCCCGTTTGAGGTGAAACATTTTTTATATGATCACACTAATTACAGGGAATGAAAGGAAGGAAATGAGTTTCTGCTGAAGGTTCTAACCTTGTGCTCCTTTCTTTCTGTCGCCGCAGCTCCACTTGGCAGCCCTGGCATCACTCAAGGGAGACATAGTGGAGCTTAATAAACGTCTGCAGCAAACAGAGCGGGAACGGGATCTTCTGGAAAAGAAATTGGCCAAGGCACAGGTAAGGGACTGGAAAGACTTTCAACTTTCTTTATTGTGAGATAAAATGTAGATATAGACATTCCCACAAAACAAATTATAACTTAACTAGAGGCCTGGTGCATACAATTTGTGAACATGGGGGGTGTCCCTCAGCCCGGCCTGTACCCTCTCGTAGTCTGGGAGCACTCAGGGGATGTCCGACTGCCGGCTTAGCGCTGCCGTGGAGGCAAGAGAGGCTCCCACCACCGCCACTGTGCTCGCCAGCCATGAGCCCAGCTTCTGGCTGAGCGTCATTCCCCCTGTGGGAGCGCACTGACCACCAGGGGACAGCTCCTGCATTGAGCGTTTGCCCCCTGGTGGTCAGTGTGCGTCATAGCAACCGGTTGTTCTGCCATTTGCTCGATTTGCATATTAGCCTTTTATAATACAGGATGAGCAAACATCCTCATGACCACTGTCCAGGCCAAGAAATAGTACTTGCCAGTCATCCAATCCCACTTTCCCTCCCACCAAGGTGACTCCTACCATGACCTTTTATAATTGTATTAGAGGCCTGATGCACGAAAATTCGTGCAAGAGTAGGCCTTCCTTCCCCCAGCTGCCAGCACCAGCTTCCCTCCCGCACCCAGGACCCGGGCTTCCCCCCTCTGACTGCCAGCAGGCACTGGGACCCGGGCTGGCTTCCCTCAGGCCCCAGCTTCATCAGGAAGGACATCCAGAATGCGTCCAGAAGACATCCAGTCTAATTAGCATATTACCCTTTTATTATTTTAGATTTTCTGCTTCTTTATAGTTTCCCACTAAAGTCTATAGATAGTAGAGTTTAGTCTTATCCATTTAAAAACTGTTTTCATTGAATCTCTTCATCTACAGGTTTTTCCTCTATTCTTTGTTTGCCTTATAATTAATCTGTTAAAGCCTGACCACTTGACCTATAGTTCCCCACAGTCTGGATGCTGATGATTGCACACTCAGTGCAGTTCCACATGTGCCTCTGTCCCTGCATTTCCTGCATTAGCAGTTGGATGCAGAGGCTCAGTCAGATGGGCAGCATATAACGGTTGTCTTGCTTCCAGTAATGTTAGCAGCTATTGACACTCAATGCCTAAGTTCATTGATTCATGAGGACTTATAAATCATGGTATTTTAGTTCTGACCATTTCTTTTTTAGTTATTAATTCTTTCTTAGTTATTAACTGCTTTCAAGAGACAATGTCCATCATGTATGATTTATTGAAACAATGATATAGTTCATAGAGAAAGAGCAGAATTAATGCTTCATTCTTTTAATTTATTTAACATTTTTCAAAATAATGAATTGATTATGATTTTCTGAAAGTACCTAATTATTTTTTTCAAATATTGTTATGAATTTATGGATTTAAACATATTTGGGTTTCAATTCATTATAATTATTTTCCTTGCAGAAACTCAAATTATAGTAAGAACCTCTTTAAGTTGGTTTCAGAGTTTTTTGACATGAGCCTAATAGTTATTCCAGGTTCACCTAGTACATTTTTGCCCCAAACTTGGAATAAATCATTCTCCAAGTAGCCCTCATTTACACAAGAAAAATGGTATTTCAAGACCACAATCTCAGTGCTAAGGGGGCTTATTGCTTCTAGGTTGGTCATTACTTTTACAGACAGGAAATCATTTATTTAATTATCTATCTGTATATGTATGTATAAATTTTAAGATAAAATACCATAGGAGTTATGCTAATTGCTCCTATTCAAATTGGGGAAAATTGAATTGCCCTATTCAACTTCCATATTTTCCAAAGGTAAAAGTTAATTTGGTTCTGCTTTACCCTTACTTCTTACATTGAGAATCAGGGGGCCCCACACCAGCCCTCAATCATTGACCTTGCTGAGTTACTCAGAGAAGACTACAGAGTACTTTTATTTAGCTTCTTCTGTATTTTATCTTTATTTTTTTCTTTTCATACTGAGAATCCTGATTCTTAAAGTTACAGAGGATGACTGAATTAGAATATTTCATAAGTACTTATTTGTTTTATTCCATATTATATACAAACAGGCTCAGGATAATATTAGCACTCCCATAAAAATATAATTACTGAAGAGAATTTTAAAAAATTTTGTCATTATGCTCTCCACATATCCCCAATTTTTTGCCATTGTACTACATCCACACTCCTGACTATGGCCATTACAGCCTGTCCTGCCTCCCTTTCAGTCCTCAACAATATGTTTAATGTTGACCAGGGTCCTTATGTCGATGTCACTCCTCTGCTTTTCGATTCCTCAGAGAGGATTCATTAAAATAATCTTCTCCAAGTCCTTGCTTGTTAATAATAGTGTGTTGGTGCCCTTCATACTTGAAAGGCATTTTTGCTGAATAGAAAGCCCTTGGCTCATCTTTTCTTTACTTGAATATGTTTTTTTAATTCTCTTTTGGCAGACAGTGTTGCTCTCAAAGTCTAATAATAATACAACTTTCTTTTCCCTCACTTACTTATTCTAGATGTCCATAGCATTTTATTTCTTTTTATTTAAGTCCAGTCATTTTACTAGAGCAGTTCTTAATCTTAATCATTCTGGTTAGATATTCTCAGGTTTGCTGTGTATTATGTTGATTATATTTTAAAATAAATGTTTTTAATATCTGGTAAGGTTTTTTTAAAAATTTTTAATGTTTAATATTAGTTTAGTTCCCTTTTATTTTTTATTCTTCAAGGATGCTTATTATTTGTAGGCGAGGTTTTCTTTGCCTGTCTTCAGTATCTGTCACTATTTCAAATGATTTATATCTCTCTCTTTTTAGTTTGTTCTTCCTATTCTCCACCTTCTGTTTCTCTTGGGGTATTATATGTTGTTTATTCCCGCTTGTGTGCCTCCTAGTTTAGTCTTTATTTCTGAAATGCATTTTTTCTTATTTCTGTTTTTTCTGTGTTCTAATACCTTCTGAGTTTTTCTGATTTTGAATTACGTTCTTTTGTGTCTTATGTCATTTTATTTCCTGTAAGTCTTTTAACTTATTTTGAAATAGTAAGCTATTATATTGGGCTTTTTCTCCCTCTCATCTATTTTGTGGCATGCTTTCATGGTTTATAGGGACGTTATTCTGCTCTTTAATTCCCCTTCCTTATAACCTTTGTATGGAATTTGACCTCAGTACTTTTGTGTTTCATTTTTATGTGAAAAAATAGCTTCCTTGAACTTTCAGAAGGTAGGATTTATGATGGCTTTTTTTTTTTTTAAGTTCATAGAGCTAGGTCTTCGGCTGTCATGTAGTCCACAGTGTGGCAGCTTGCTTTCTGCTTCTACCTGGCTCTGTTCCCCTCGCCTGCTTCTACCTGGGCCTGTTCTTTCCTTTGTCTCTGTTACCCCCCACTCGTTCCATTTTGACCCACTCCCTGCAGTTTTTCCTCCTGGAGAGGAAGCCTGGGATCAGTCTTGACAGTTCGCAGAGATCATCAGCTGCTTTAGCCCTTTCCGATCAGCTGCTTTAGTCCCTGCAGATCTGACTGTGCGTCCCTTGCTCACTCACTCTAGGCTCAGGCAAAAGCCCCTCCTGGGTTTGGCCGCTGTTCGCCAGTGGGCCCTCTCAGTTTCCTGTGTGCGCTGATTTGGTTATTTGGGGCTTTTCCAGTTCTCAGACCTGCCATCCTAGTCCTTCCCTGTGCTTCTGCCCACACAGACACCACTCAGGTCTTGTGGAGGGCGGTGGTTTGTCTCTACCTGCTTGTGTTCTGTTGCTCAAGGGGGTACCTTGTTTCTAAGTGGTTGATTGTGCTGTGTAGGTGCTCTGTCAGTTTTGATGTGGGAATTTGGAGAGACTGAAAAACCAGGCTGCCGCAGTCATCAGTCTCTAGAATGACCTGTGGGAAGTTTTGAAACCTCGTGTCTCATATTCATAGACTGTTCGAGTCAGGAGGAAAGACCCTTTGTACTTAAGATCATCTATGTTCACATTTGACAGGCTACTCAGAGAATTAACTTGCTTACCCAAGGTCAATGACTAGCTTAGACCAGAGCCAGGCAGGGCCACCAGTGTCCTTTTCGGTTTTCACTTAGATAGAAACTTTACGTCAAATATTTTCCTTTTGATTATAAAAGTAATAAAAATGTGATAGAAAATCAACTGGAGAGATAGCTCTCCAGTGGTGGGCTCTGGTGAGTTAAAACTTCTTTAATACTTTTATTTCATAAGGGTTTTTTTGAGAAAGGGGTTATTTTTTAATTAAAGAAAATATACAATGGAGTTAAGTGACTGTGTTTTCTACTTTACAACCCTGCAAAGTCAGCTGTTGTTAATAGTTCTTACCAATGAGACTTATTTTTTAAAAGGAAAATAAATTATGAATGCTTTTAATTGGAAACTGTCATGTACCACCGTCTTGGATTTTAAAAGGTGACCAGGAAGGTATTTCTGAAACTATAAGCCTAAAAAGACAGAGCAGCTTGTGTAGAGGATAGTAAAAAGGCCATGGACAGCTTTTCCTGGGCTGTGTCAAGGACTGATTCATCCCCCTTCTCACTCACCTATGATCAAGACATTCTCATGGAATAGTTTTTAATGGTTGGTTTTACTCCTAATGGCAATAGTCACATCATAGTGCCACCAATTAACTTTCGCTTGTTTGCATTCTTACCCTAAATATACTTAAAAATTACTGTCTGTTCCTTTCACTGGAGATGTGTTCCCAGTTCAGATACTAGGGCCCAGGAAAGAGAGCATGCAAAAAAAAAAAAAAAAAGCCAAACTTGAGAGTCTCATACCTTTTATAAAGGTGAGATTTGTGCAAGAAAAAATAAGAACGACGAAATGACTGTGCCATGCTTTCTGTGCTATGTGCCTTGCTAAATGATTTATGTTAGAATGAGGCTTTACCAGATTTTGGAAGTACAGGTTCATATGTAAATTTATGCTCTGAGGCTTTAGTAAGGTTTACCAGCTCTCTAAATATTACAGAGCTACGATTAAACCGAAAATGTTAAATTTAAATCTTGGGTGTGTTCTTTTGAAATAATCAAAACGAGCTTCAGTATC